TTTATTACCACAAAAAAATTTATTATAATTATAGGGCACTATGAAATCAATTAATCAAAATAAAAATTGTCGTTAGTGGCAGCCCTAATATAAATATGCACACAGCAGGCGGGCTCTAAAACCATGTAAATAAAGAATTAAACACCCTCATCGTCTAGTCGTGCTGCAATACTACTCATTAATTTCCTCCAGGATTCAGTTTGTATGCTATACACAATGTGCAGAATTAATATGCGGATGAACAATTACATGTGCAGTATACAGTGAACACTGTGTGTGAGTAACTGTAATATTGTTTAGAGACTTTCCATTTTTTAAAATAGTAATGGGCCGTTCTAAAAATAAACATTTTAATTTATTTATTTTATTTAAAAAATGTATTTATTTTCATAATTTCATTAATTAATGTATTTATTTTAATTAATTTTAAGTTGTTTGTTTTATTTATTTCATTGTTATTTTTTAAATAGTAGGTGATGTGGTATTTTAAACAAAGATTTTAATTATTTTATTTATTCTAATTAATTTTAATGTATTTATTTTTTTCAAATACTAGGTTATGTGCCATTCTAAACAAACATTTTAATTATTTATTTATTATTATTATTTATTTCTTTTAATTAATTTTTTTTATTTTAATTAATTTTGATGGATGGATTTTATGTTTTATTTTATTTATATTTATATTTATATTTATTTATTTATATAATTCATTTGAATGTGTTTGTTAAATTTATTTTATATTTTAAATAGTAGTTGATGTGCTATTCTAAACATACCCAAGTGTTTTTAGTGACATAGCTGCCAATGGATGAATATCGTTATTATTATTTTTTATTAAGGCTCAGATTGCATGTAACTTTGACTGGATGCATGGACCTGTCTTTACTCCTTGATGCAACCCATCAAACGGCTTATAAAATAATCCTTAAAAGTTAAATAAAGATGCAACAGCGCGTTCATATATATTTTCGATTCAGACTACAAATGCAAATGGCTGTGCATTTATTTGTGCATTAAATTATAGCGGTCATGGGGTGTATGTGTGTGTGCGTTTGTGTAATGTAAGATGAGCTTACAAAACCATGCAGAATGTACATTCATTTTGTTCCGTGTAATAGTGAATTGCAGCATGCATTTGTGGGAAGCTTTGATGCTTTTAACTCCGTGTTCTCTAAAATGTCTTTCTCAGAGTTTTCTCTTCTAGATCTTTAGATTAATTGTGATTTTCTTTCATTCTTCACTCATTCATTGGTTAATTTTCCCATCATTCATGTGCAGAAACCAGCAGGTTTTGGTCCAATCTGCTCGGTTTGAGATTTTCTGTTTGTTTCTCTGTCTCTCTCTCTCTCATCTCATCTCGTGTCAATTAGAGTCAGAGCGGCGAGCGTCCATCACTCTGTGTGAGAGAGAGCGAGAGAGAGACGGTCGAACATTAGTCTTCATTCCCCTAATTCACAATAATGACTTTATAATAAGCCCATATTAGAGAGGATTTCCACAATCTACCCAGAGCACTTCTCATTTCAATTGCACTGCAGTCTGTTTCCATTTCACCAAGTGCATAGAAAGACAGGAGAGAACGCAAACAGTCCTTCGGCTGTGTTCAAAACCCTTGTCTGTTGTTGTCTGTTGGTTTTATCCGCAGCTTTGAGTGACATTACGAAGTCTTTTATGGGTAATAAAACTGCAGATGAAATTTTAATGTAATTGTAAAACTTGAAGACACTAAATCTATTGGATGCTTCAGATCTTCACTATAGGTCCATCAGCAACATCAGGATTAATGGTGCCATAATTTGATGTTTTAATGCATTCATGCAATCCATGAGAAATACTGGAGTTTCAGGAAGACAAAGTCAGTGACATGAATGGATCTATTATTTTTTTGACAAAAAAAATAAAAATAAAAACACAAACACGTGATAAACCCCCCAAAATCATGATATTTTAAAATAAAATAAAAAATAAATATAAATTATTAAAAATAAAATTATAATATTATAATAATCATGAATATCAATATTCATAATATTTGGACAGATAATAATAATAATAATAATAATAATTTAGCATATTATTATTATTATTTCAATGTTAATATTAATATTAACAATACTACTACTACTACTTTAAGTTTTAATACTAGTACTACTACTACTGCTAATAATAATAATAAATTATTATTATTATTACTGATGATGAATAATAATAATAATAATAATAATTATGTATTACTATTAGTAGTAGTCGTATTGAAATGTAAAAACAAAAAATAACATCATAAAAATTACAATAATAATACTTTATTATTATATTATTATTAATATTATTAATATTATGTTATTGTTTATTATTTAAGTTTTAATGCTAATAATAATAATAATAGTAATAAATTATCATCATCATCGTCAATAATAATAATAATAACAATAATAATAATGTCTTAGTTGTAGTATTAAAACTTAAAAAGTAGTCGTAATATTGTTAATATTAATAACCACATTGATATTAATATAATATTTTTAACCTAAACATGTTTTTGTTGTTATTATTTTTTTGTTTTTAAGTTTTAAATGTAACATTAATACAGCTAAGCACTAGGAACCACGGTTCATCAAATCTCGGTCGTCCTTGTTTGTCATTGACCCCAAAGCTGAATGAAACTGCTGGCATTTAAAGGCATATTCATATAATCCATTAGTTTGCATTATCACTTTTATCTGAGATGTCTTTCTGTTTTTAGCTCTAGCGTCTTCTCGCTGTCTGTCTGTCTCTCTGTGATGATGCAGCAGTGAAGGCAGACAGTCGTAATGAGGGTGACTTCTACACAACGCTGCATGATTAATTCAGATGCTTTTACAGCTAGTTAATGTTACAGAGAGCCAATTATTTAATCCGAGCTCATGCGGTTTCCCTCAGAAAGAGCCAGAGCCAGAGCGACGTAATGCTCTGTTTGTCATTACTCTGTCCTGACAGAGGAAAGAGTTATTAAAGACAAACATACGAACAATAATCACCTTCTGACTGTGGATGAGAGACATAGACAGACAGTGAGACAGAGAGAGAGACTGTTTTATATGGCTTTTTTTCATCGCTCAGTAACAATAGCATCATGTGAGCATATTCCTCTCACATAAACTTTTGAAAGCTGTGTTTTAAAGTGGTTTTTAATAAGCACTGGTGCAGTTAACAGCACGTGCCGTGGCTTCGCTCACATTAAGTAGATTTCATTAACATCCAACTGACCGGCGGCTTCTCGAGAGGATACTTGGATTAGCCAATCGCTCACTCGCTCCTTCAGCCTTTCTTCAGCGCTCTCTCTCTCTCTCTCTCTGTAACTCATGGCAGGAAGGAAGGAACCCAGACTTGTTCTGACCTGTTTTCAATTATTTAATTTGTTAGTGATTCAGAAAGAAGCCATTTCTCTGACACACACACACACACATACTCACACACACACACACACACACACACACACACTCACACACACACACACACACACACACTCACACACTCACACACACTCTCACACACTCACTCACACACTCACTCACACACACACACACACACACTCACTCACACACTCACACACACACACACACACACACACTCACACACTCACACACACACACACACACACAGGCAGGGGCAGATCTACCGGGGTGCCACCCTAAGAAAAAGCTGTGCCACCCCACCTGCCACCCTAGAATTATCACAGAATAAAATATAAATGTAAGCAGTGTTTCATGTGCTAGTTTCACTAGGCCCAGTTCACTAACTAATTGTTTTTACATTTGTTCGTGAATCAGATAATTACTGCTTCCCGGCTAACTCAGAAGTCCTCTGAGAAATCTAATCCCGTCCGGATATGTAAGATGCCGATCACGGAAACTAAGCAGAGTTAGGTAAAAATCTAGTCGTGTTGCACTTTTCTCGATTGTTAACATATAGGCCTCACTGATTTTAGTTGCCACTTTTTCCCCAAACCATTAATTCAGTTTTCAAAACAAAGACACAAGAATGTGCAGAGGATGCTAAATTTACTTTTTTAATTGTATTTTTTACTGTACAGTATCGCGGTGCATACCAAGTTCATATACAATTCTTTGGTATTTGAACTTTTCTAGTGCTTTTCATCTACTGCAAGATTACTTTACAGTAGTAAAATTAAAATGATTTTTTCCCAAAAGTTCATTGCTGAATTATACATCTGTATCTGTAATTTAATTTATGTATACTGTAATAGACATTGAGCTGCAAAAATAATTCCTGAATCCTAGTAAGAGTTTTTTGTTACAGTGTTATTGATCTCAGTGTTCACTGGCAGGAAAGTCATCTGTGTATTTGCAGTGGATGGCCCGCGCTAAAGATTCCAGTCTGTGAACAGGAGCCACCTGAGAGCCATCAGGAGAAGGGGATATAAAAACACTCTAAAGAGAAAGGAAAAAATGAAATCGCATCATATGACCCCTTTAATAAAAATGTTAATGTTAGTTCACAGTACATTAACTAATGTTAACAGATACAACTTTTGATTTTAATAATGTATAAACAAATGTTGAACTTGTACAGTCTTATCAGTCTTACATATCAGTTAAATTGATTTTAAAGTTCTTGTTCTCTGTTTTTACTAGTGCAAAATGTTAATTTAGTTCCCACTGATTGATTTAAAATGCAGCCATTTCAAATTAGGACTGTATGGATAAAATCATATATATTGTCGCAATTATTTTTCTCATGATACTGCATTGATTATTTAAATTCTTGTATCTGTATTTTTGTTTTATTTATGTGTGCATCATACAATTCATTTCGGTTCAATTCATGAAAAATGCATGTCTAAGTGATTGCAACCTTTTAAAGTGGCATTTCCCCGTTTCATGTGTGTGGCATTGTAAGGTAGTCAGCCCTGTTTCAAATGTCAGTGATGTTCAGATTGACCTGAGTGTGACGGCTTGTGTCCAACATGTCCTGTCTCTGCTTCTGTCCCTGTTCAGATTTTTCATATGACCTATGACCTGGCCAGCGCAATGGTGCGAATCGTCAACTTGATTGGAATGATGCTGTTGCTCTGTCACTGGGACGGCTGCCTGCAGTTCCTGGTGCCAGACGGACAAAGTTAGTCGATGCATGCCATTTTACTCTCTCGTGCAGATAAAAATTGTCAAGTTACAGTGCACAAAAACCCCTGGGTGGACTGACCTGAATGAACTGAAATAAAAGCAGAATATAGATGTTCTTTCAGCTGAAATCAACGACACTCATCACAACGAAAACATCGACCTTAGAAATAACAAACGTGAACATTGGGATAATCGCCGATGTATATGGCGAACCCCCGTTGAAATGCATACACAAGAATGCTTATTCATTTAACCTGTTTCATGTCCGTTACTATCGGCGTGTCCTCAGAGCGATCACATATGCTCTAAACTGCGTTTTGCTCCAGCTGTATAAACACAGATGCTAAATGCTGCTGCTAATATGCTTAATATGTGCTCCTGCATACAATGCAAACTGCTAACATGACACTTAGTTTAAACTTGATTATGGTTGCTCATTTTTTAATTCAATTAGGCAGACCACGCAATACACACGTTTTCATGATGACGAAGAACTGCAATGTAGCGTGAAAGCGAAAAACATGATAATCAAACCCAAACAGATGTTTTGTTTTGGCAGAGTATCTGAGGCACGAGCTGTAAAGGCTCCGCCCGATTCTGGAAAAGTGGGCGGGGAACAGCAGCTCATTTGCATTTAAAGATGCATGCACAAAAACAGCGTTTTTCTGCTTACACTCAAAACAGGCATTTTCATCATTATCGTATCGTATTTTGAGCTGAAACTTCACAGACACATTCTGGGGACACCTGAGGCTTATTTTACATCTTGTAAAAAGGGGCATAATAGGTCCCCTTTAATTTCCTTCTGTTTTAGTCAAGGGGACAGGCGGCCACCGAGTCTCCAGCGTCCAGAGAGAGAGGACAGTCTTGTTCCTGACACCCATGAGATTTAGTTTCCTTAGCTGAATGCCAGAGACCCGATCCGTGACCCTGAATCAGCCCGACGAGAGCGAGAATGGCAAAACTCCTCTCAGGATCTGCCATGTATTGCTGTAGTTTATCGATGGGGCCTGCGGCGACTCGCCAGCTTCCCTGAGGAGTAATTGGTGGTCTGTGATTGCCCCGGTCCTACAATAACATAAAGCCAGAGATCAAATTCAAACAAGCATGTTATCAGTCAGCAGGGAGCTGCGCAGACAACAGACGCATCGCGGGGCAATGCAAACTGTGAGGCTATCGTAAAAAAGCGTGCTTAGATTTGCTCTGTTTAGTATTTAAATTCTTTCATGTCACCAGGGTCTAAAATTAACATTCAGCCAAAAATAATAACTTTGCTTAATTGCACCTTTGTTTTCATTTCTTAATATGAACTAACAATGAGCAATTCTTCTACAGCATTTATTAATGTTAATTTCAACATTTACTAATACATTTCTACAATTTTACAGTTGTATTTGATAACGTCAGTTAAAGGAATAGTTCACCCAAAATGAATATTATTTGAAAATGTGCTCACCCTCAGGTCATCCGAGATTAGGATGAGTTTGTTTCTTCGTCAGATTTGGAGAAATGTAGCATTGCATCACTTGCTCTGCAGTGAATGGGTGCTGTCAGAATGAGAGTCCAAACAGCTGATAAAAACATCACAATAATCCACAAGTAATCCTCACCACTCCAGTCCATCAGTTAATGTCTTCTGAAGAGAAAAGCTGAAACAAATCCAGCATTATGATGTTGCTGTTGCTGTATGTTGAATGTTGCTGACGGCACCCATTCACTGCAGAGCAAGTGATGCAATGCTACATTTCTCCAAATCTGACGAAGAAACAAACTCATCCTAATCTCAGATAGTCTGATGGTGAGGACAGTTTCAGCAAATTTTCATTTTTGGGTGAACTATTCCTTTAATGCACTAATGCATTCCTCTCAATATTTTAAATACATACGCATGCATTAAAGTCAAATAGGGCCACGCTACCTTTTCTGTATCTGTATCTTTTCAGATTCACTTTTGATGCCTGCAGCTCATTCAGGTTGTTAGATCCAGCTATTCCATTAACAGGGCTGCCATTATGAAACAGTATTATCTTTTCCCTGTTTTTGGAGAGCTGTAATAAGCTGTCGCTCTCTCAGGATTGAGCCCCTACAGAAATGAGTCTGAAAGCAATCTGGACATGTCACCTCAGATGGAGCCAATATTGATTCCTCACGGACTCGCGCACACATCCACAGGACAAGGGCAATTTATTCACTATTTTAGAGATACGCAGAAATTTCACATCTTTCTAAATAGCTGACCCAGTTTTCTCCAGCTCGGATTTCTCTTTTTCAGCCTCATTTATTCGTATTTTCATTCTATGTCACTGTGTTTTCTCCCACCACAAACTCTCAGGAGTCAAACTGGATTCATATTCATGCAGCCATTGAAAGCGTTTGAACTTTTTGTTTCATACATACATGTAGGTTTGTGCAGCTGAAAAGATTATACCTTTAATATTTTTCAACCTTTTGATGATATTTGATCTATTTATGCATTCAAAATGTTTAAAGCAAGACATAGTAAAGGTCTAGTTAAAAATAATCAAGGCACACTGTTTTTCATTTTATAAACACAATGAATATTGATATTGAATTATTTTCATTTATTTGCATGAATGTAACAATTCTAAGTAATAAATAACAATATGTACATTTAGTTAATAAAATTACATTCATAAAACATTTTAATATAAAACTATTTGGACAGAGATTTCTGTAACATTTTATGAACAAATTGGATCAGATTATTGAATATATTCATTAAAACATTTAAACTTATTCACAGAAATCAACTTAGCAGTGCCATTTTTGTACGATAGGTGTAATTTTTGTATAATTGAGATTATTATTGTATTTATTAATATTTTTAATCAGTATTTATTTTTATATTTTATATTTTCATTTTCGTTTTAGTTAAAGTTTTAGTAATTTTTTGTGTGTGTGTGGTTTTTTTTGTAGTTTTTTATGTGTCTACATAGTTTTTATTAATTTTTATTTCATTTTAATTTTTTCTTTGGTACATCAAGTTAAATTAAATGAATATCAGAAATGCTGCTTTGGCTGAAAAAAAAAAAGTTTTTTTATGTTTTATTTTATTTCAGTTAACAATTATTTCAAGTTACAAATGTTTTTGTTTTATGGTTTTTAATTTCAGTTTAGTTAACAATAATAACCCTGTGAAAGACACTATTAAAGCTCCCTTATTCACGAGTCTGAGACGAGGAACATTTTGAAATTAGTCTAATAGAATTTTCTTCAATTGGAAAAAAAAGAATAATCATCACAATATATTATAATGTTGTTTATTTTTATATCACCAGCAAAGTCATTGTGAATATATCATGAATATTAAGGTATATCAGTATGTAAACATTGTATAGTTCATCTATCAGGAGGACATAAACTGTTTGTGATGGTCTCTCGTTCTGTCTCTCTCTCCTTTCAGAACGACACGTGGGGTCAGCAGTATTCTTACGCTCTCTTCAAGGCCATGAGTCACATGCTGTGTATCGGATATGGCATGTATCCACTTTTTGAAACAACCCCATGTATTAAACTTGAGGATGTGCATCATCATGTTTGTGCTCCAGACTTCAGAAAATGGAGTTGTTTTTGTAGTTGCACGTCTGTAGTTTTCTATCCAGTCCTGTATGAGTGGTTGACCTCACCTCACTCGTGGTCAGCGGGCAGTACGGTGTGCCAGGCGAGTCCCTCATGCCCGCTGCATGGGCAGACCTCAGTCCCTTCCCTGATGCCCACCTCAACATGGGCAGATCGCCACATGGTGCACCATCTGTTGAGAGACGAGGGATGGAAAAAGTAAGTAGAGTTGGAGAAGATATAAAGAGGGAAAGAGAAGATCAAAAGGAAGATGCAGGGGTCTTACAGACGCCCCAGATCGTCTGAGTCACAGATACAACAGATACAGCATTAACATTAGAAACTAGAAGAAAATGGAGTGGTCGCAGGTTTTTAAGGGTGGTTACTAGGCATTTCTAGGTGGTTGCTAAGATCTGAGTGTAGTTGCTACTCTATGTAGGGCCCTGTGATTTCTAAGATGTGGAAAATGTGGATGGAATTGCAGAAACCATTTACTGGATAATGTGAAATGTCACGGATTTTGGCAAATTTTGGATGAATAAAGCAAAAGTAGTGCTGTACACTTAATTAAATCTTGACTAGTATCTGTGAATATTAAAGCACAAAAAGACCGCTATACGATGTCTGCATGTTTTGCTTGTTTCTGTGTGAATGAGCACCACAGTTTCACATTTCACCATTTCTTTCGATAAAACCAATTGTCAGATACACAGAACTCAAAGGTCTTCACTACAACCCGCCAAAATAAAAGTTCAGTTTAACTTGAAGAAATTATGACAGAAATATATTACAATTGGACAGCAGAATGTACTTGTCAAAGTATTAATTATAAAACAGGATTTTACAATATTTATTTATTTTACAATTTCACACAATCTTTCGTCCATTAATCCCCAAACAGTAATCCTCTGTTGTGCAGCACTTTGTTTGCCAAAAAAAAGATTCAAATTTCACTTAAATATATTTTTAAAGATTTATTCAATTTAATAAAATGTTATAAATGTAATCAAATTAAATATAATTTAAAATTAAATTAAAAATTTAATTTAAATTTAATTTTAAAAAAATCAAAATTTTATTCATTCAATTCATTACCACTGTTTTTGAAAATAAGAATTTCTGAGAGAAAAAAACATATTTTATGGGAACTATTATTGTTGCAATTTTGATAAACTATTATATTTTCATATTTCATATTTTACGTTTGATTAATTAAATTAATTAGACATACTTTTGATGACTATTACAATTTAATTAAACCATTAAAACGAAAATGGAAAGCACAGAATTTAGGAAAAAATAAAATGAAATTTAGGAAAAATTTCCCAAGCTATGGTGTTTGTGGTGGTTTTTATCTTACCATGTTGTGAGTGGTTGTGAGGGAATTACTGTGCAGTTGATGCAGTGTTCTGAGTGGTTGTTAGTGGGTTGCTAAGTGGTTGCTAGGGTGTTGTGAATGGTTGCTAGGTGTTTTCTTCCTGTCTGGTGTTCAGGAGTCCTTGCATCCTTGTGTCTCTGTGATCTTCTGGTCTGTAGATGTGGTCTGGGTCCCTCCTTCAATGTGTGTCTGTGGGATTTTTTCACCTGTTTTATGATCCGGCAGAAAAAAAAAATGAGTGCATTAAAGAAATATGTGCAATAGTAATAGTAAAAGCAGACTAAAAGCACATAAAGAGGGAGCTGGGATGCTCTTAGAGAGAGAAAGCTGCGAGAATTACATCAACCTCTTGACTTTTTCAGGAAATTGTTTTTGTGTCATATAGGGTAAAAATAGGAGACACAGAGAGACGAGCGAATGATGAGAAATACTGTAATACTGAAGAGGAGACTGGTGATTTAGAGACCATAACATGCTGTATTTATTTTAAAATCATGCATTTGAAGTCAGTACATTGTTGTGATCTCAATCTGAAACTCCAGAGGAGACGCACATGGAGTCTTTTTCTCAGGAGAAACATCTGAGAAGCAGGACACTTCAGTAAAAGTCTCAGTTTGCACTATATTTTATCTCGGTTCAGTCTGAGACGTTAAACAGATGTCATCTTTAAAATCTCTCTCCTGATCCTGTTCTTAGATGAGTCTGAGCATGCGGTGGGAATCGAGCATTTGGCTTATGACTGGTTCGGTTTGTCTGATACTTCATTGTGAATCTTTAATGCCTGCAGCTTATGTATTTACTGCAGGAGCGGCGCGGCACAGCTTATTCAGACCGTTTAGGGAGATTGTGAGATTTCTTGATTTGAAGATGATGTTAAATCACAGAGGACAGACAGAGATCTGTGAACACTTTAGTCTAATGGCCTCTCCAGTATGTCTTTGTTTTACATTTATGCTACATGGGATGATGTGGTGAGGAATAGCCCGAGGGTTCGAGGGGATGCGCTAGTGCTGTTAAAGATTAAAGAAATTGATAATTTGTCATTAATAATTTGATCAATATAGGTGACTGGCATTTAATCAGTTTGCAGTCATGAATTATACAAGTACATAAATTAAAGGTATTGATATTGAACATAAATGTGTTAAAATACAACACTGAAATCGTGAGAGAAAATACTAGAACTCAGATACTAAGTATGCAGTATGCAAAAAAAAGTGATTTTCTTACTTAGTATTTTTGTCTTTAAACAAGAAAAATATCTGGCAATGGAGTAAAAAAAGTCATTGATTTTTTATTTAAAAAAAACAAAACTTTTTTTATCTTAACCCAGTTTCTTTAAGTAAGAAATAAACACGTATTTACTAATCTATACATCTATAATCAGCATAAGTTGCATTTGCTTTAAAATGACTGACTTCATTGAAATCCATTTTATGAAAGAAATTAATACTTTTATTCATCAAGGCTGCTTTAAATTGATCAAAAGTGACAGTAAAGACATGTATAATGTTACAACAGATTTCTATTTCAAATAAATGCTGTTCTTTTGAACTTTCTATTCATCTGTGAATCCTCAAAAATAAAATGTATCACAGTTTCCACAAAAATATTGTGCAGCACGACTGTTTTCAACATTGATAATAATCAGAAATGTTTCTTGAGCAGCAAATCAGCATATTATACTGATTTCTGAAGATCATGTGACACCGAAGACTGGAGTAATGATGCTGAAAATTCAGCTGCGCATCACAGAAATAACTTACAGTTTAACAGATATTCACATAGCAAACAGCTATTTTACATTATAATAATATTTCACATTTTTCTGTATTTTTGATCAAATAAATGCAGACTTGGTGAGCAGAAGAGACTTCTTTCAGAAACAAAAACGGTAGTGTATTTTCTAGTTGAACTGAATTGCTGGTGGTTAGTGAATATAGCATAATTAGTTAACTTTTTTATATATGTACGTTAACCGTCTCTGCCTTATGCAGACTCATGCAAAAGTGGTGCAACTGTTTAGAGAATTAGTGATCGTTCCCATTTAATTCTGTCATCTGGTTTAGAAGAATTTCGCAAACTCATTCATCCTAATAATGAGTCTGCGGAGCGCTCTGTCCTGGAACATCCTCCCCTCTGTCTCGTTTCGTCTGGTCTGGTCTGCTGGCCTGTTTTTGGAGATTCAGAACTGCCAAGTGGGTTAACCAGCCATTTGGTCTCCCGGTGGACGCGACCTCTGAGCTGCGGGTCAAACGTGATCTGTTAATGCGCCGAACGTCCCATAGCAACCTGCTCCTATGGCAACGCAACTCACGATTCATTGTGTGCCAGACCCTGCAGCCAGGCATCCTGTAGAGGAGACTTTAGCACGGTAAACACAGATTAATATGGAGGTGAGGGAGGTCGTGTGTCCGTTCGTTAGCTTGACTAATGTGCTCTCAGAACATTTCCCTGAGCTGTCGGAAGACAGATAGACAGGAAAGACTGTGTGTGTGTGTGTGTGTGTGTGTGTGTGTGATAGAGACAGAACGACACGCACACACACACACCTGGCTGTAGTACTTCTGCTGTTATTCTATCAGACAGTAGCCAGCGGGTTCCTCTTCAAACCAGTTCTTGTCCAGGAAAGACGAAACGCAGCCTTAGGGAAACCTCACATGCATGAGAACAGCCATGTGACGTTTGGTTTGAGATGGATTCACATGGAGGAAATCACACACACACACACACACAAATTATAAATGAATATGGGTTTTATTTTGTTATGCATATTCAAGTAGAAGCTAACCTTAAAAGGTTTTAAGGCAATTTAAAAAAGTGCGTTCAAATGTATTTAAGGTGTATGGAAAATATTTGATTACTTTTTACTTGATAGATACACCTTTAGAATTTTAGATTTGTAAAATCTTGTTTTCATAATCTCAGACATGATTATTTGTCATTGACCCATGCACTTTAAGAACTTATTTTGGCTGAAATGGTTCTTTATGTTGGTTCTTACACAGAATGCAGGAATAACCTTTATGACATGTCATTTTCTATGCCAGCTTATCATCCTGTGGGACTGATTTTACAAACAACTCTGTCTTCGCAATGGATCACTAAACACAGCAAGCAGAGAAACATATCTGAGAGCGTAAAGTTTAAGTTGTTTTCTCGGCGTGGCATTGGCGCTGGATCACATTTCTAATGCGACGCTTGTTATGCCCTAGCTATCAGTATTCTTTCACCAGGCCCTAAAATTATCACCTCATCTCAGTGTGACAGGAACAGGCTGTCTTTGTGCTGGCAGTGAGGTTCGGCAGCTACCAGCGTCTCCTTCTGCATGTTTAGATTGGAGCGCAGCTGAAACTCTGGAAGCAGAGATCCGAATCAGTGAAAGTCCAGGCCACACAGTCTTGAGCTCTGTTTGTATTTATCATCCTCGAGTAGACATGCTTAAAAAGTTCCGTACAGCCCAACCAAACATGTAAACAAAAGAAAACGTCAGCAAAACGACTGCCTGATAGGACCGTGCCGCTGTAATCATGCATGACCACACACGCTTGCAGCTGGATGGCAGACAGCCCTGTCACTGCTCTCTGTTCCAGATTAGGTCAGATTTAATTAGGCTCACTTAGATACATTGGATTTGTTGAAATTATGAATATATTTACAAACCTCTTAAAAACTCCAGATCTCACCAGAAACACCTTGCACAGGCGCTGTTCTGTGTAAAATAATTGAAAGAGGCAAATATTTGCAGCTCGCACAGACGGTGGATGAAATTATCATGAGAATGGCCAGCTATAATCTGCCATGAATGGAGGGTTGTATTGTACTGCACTCATGTCTGTCAGCGCTGGCTAATATTAGCTTCATAAAGGAAGAGAGAGAGAGAGAGAGAGAGAGAGAGAGAGAGAGAGAGAGAGAAATAGATACTGTAGGATTGTGATTTGGGATTATGTGCCGATCAGTTTCACAGGCTCAGTTCAACAAGAGCAACACTGAGAGAGTGAAAATTAAAGCACTAGTTCACAAAAATGAAAATATACCTCTCATTCCCATGTGGTGGACAGTAACAAAGTAGTTTTACTCCTTTATGTACTTAAGTACATTTTTCAAGTATCTTTACTTCACTACATTCCAAAGCAATATTGTAAAAATATTGTACTTTTTACTCCACTACCTTTCTCAAAAACATGTCGTTCCTCGTTATTTTGAACAGGACAAATCCTTACCCACTCCAAGACGTGATAGCGGTGTCCGATTCAAAAGCTGATTCTTTTCAATGAACCTGTTAAATCAGTTCACAAATAGCACTGAACGATTCATTCGTGAATTGGACTGATCGGATTGCAGCTCGAGTCAACAACTCGCTGATTCAAGTTATCCGGACAGAGCGAGTCTTCAGTGAACAATTCACTGATTCAAATGATCCGGTCAGAGTGAGTCTCCAGTGAACAACTCGCTGATTCAAATGATCCGGTCAGAGTGAGTCTCCAGTGAACAATTCACTGATTCAGATGATCCGGTCAGAGTGAGTCTCCAGTGAACAACTCGCTGATTCAAATGATCCGGTCAGAGCGAGTCTCCAGTGAACAATTCACTGATTCAAATGATCCGCTCAGAGCAAGTCTCCAGTGAACAACTCACTGATTCAAATGATCCGCTCAGAGCGAGTCTCCAGTGAACAATTCACTGATTCAAATGATCCGCTCAGAGCAAGTCTCCAGTGAACAACTCACTGATTCAAGTTATAAAAGTATACAAGTTAAAATTACAAAATAAACATTCATCGATCAGCATTTTTTACTTGTAATAATTAAGTAGATTATAAATCAAATACTTTTGTACTTTTACTCGAGTAAAAGTGAAAATACTTTTACTGGAGTAATATTTTATTAGAGTATCTGTACTTTTACTCAAGTACTTGATTTGTGATTCGTCCACCACTGGTCCTTCCAAACTCTTATTTTCAACGTTCATTTAACCATTTAAGAAACTTTACAGTCTCCAAATGCAAAGATTAAGGAAGAAGACATTTTTTTAGTGGTTAAACTGTGATTGGTGTGATATGAGATCTTTGGCCGTGTGATTCCCGCCTGCAGCTGTGCTGTTAATTAAAGACTTTTGAGATCAACTGTGGGAATCATTTCACACACACACACACACACACACACACACACTTATTCCTCGTCCTGTCGAGGGCTCATGGGACACGTGCTGAACCGAAGCCTGCAAAACCCTCTCACTTGTGCTTGGCAGAGGATTATGGGAAGACGTGAGTTTCCTGGACAGTTATATTCATGCTCTTTTTCTTATCTACCTGCTGACAGAGAGAACGACCGGCACATGTGAGCCATGCATGGGCCCATTCACATACTGTCTGTATTATATAGTGTGTGAGATTAGGATTATATTGTCCTTAATCGTAGTATGTTGAAAGTAGTATGACAAAGGTGAAGGCACAGTATGCTATATTTCTGGTGGATTTTAAAGTCTGCATTGTGTGCTAAAATACTTTCTCTTAAAGCAGGAATTCCCAAATTTTTATTTTGCTAGCCGAACCCATTTGACCTAAAATGTTTAAATTAATATTTCAATAAGTGAACAAAATATTTGCATGTTCGTGGTCCTCTGATGTTGGTTAATGGTCATGTGACATGCAGGTAAACAAATAAAATGTTTTTTTATTATATATGTATATAT